CTTGTCGTGTTGAAAGAACTGAACGTATCCTTTTTTGAAATATATAGAAGTAAAATATACAGTATTTCAATAATATTAAAAAGTAATACAAACCAATACAGTTTTGTGTTTCTTTATAAGTTATATTTTTTAACTAAGTATTTGAGCAATAATTATACAAATTATATTTTCTTTAATGCATGTCAGATAATTTTTCATTTATTAAAACTTATATGGAAACTTGTAGACTAGAAAAGTATAAAAAGAGTATTAATTCTTAACATTTAAATATATATGTACACATGTGTTTTATATATACAGATATGCTTATTGACATTAGCGATGTTCTTCATATATGTGTTCACGAACTTGGACGGACATATCTACGATTTACTACAGCTCTACGTATCAACATACCAGCAATGGGTGAGTAATTTGCAAGATATAGTTTAATATTATAATATATATTAGCTCAACTTTGACACATATATTACCCAATTCAGATTTTAATCAAGTTTTATAGATATGTAATACTAATTAATTGTAGTCAAATCAATAAATATAGAGTTACAGAAATGCTCAGTTTTCGAAATATTTAAATTTGTCATGTCTGCTGGGTACTTATTTTGGTACGCAAGAGGACGTGGGTACATGGAGCATGAGGGTTCTATATAGATATAGAAAGTAAAAGAAAACAAAGATTGACTTAATTCTGATCGAGTTTAATTGTCCCACTGATTAGTCGAGCAACAGCTAACAATAACTATATAATGTATGAATATTTTGATAGGCATGTATCTATCTGGAGACATGGTAATGTCTCATATAAGTATACATATACACCGGGTGTCTGGAAAATTACCCGTAGTACTTCGGGAAAATGATTCAGGATCCAAAAAAAGAAAAAATGCTTAGGTACGGAAATAAGTCGTTTCATAAGTCCGGATCTACAATAGATTTTTAAGCCTTAAGTCATAAGAAATGGACAAATCACTGTCAATTTTTCTCCTCGTATTCGACTGTAATTGGTCAATTTCTTATGGCTTAAGGCTTAAAACAGCTATTGTAGATCCGGACTCTAATGTATTTATCTCAGTGTTTTAAGATAAATAGGTATTTAAATCGAATTTAATAAGATGTTCGAAATGATTACTTTCAGCTGAATACAGATCCTTATTCTTCTGTCAAAAAAAATTCCGAATTTTTTGAAAAACATTTCGATCTCTTCTTATTTTTTCAAATTCATGAATTATTCTTTATCTTAGGTCAATATTATTACATTTCTGTAAAGTGTTGACTTTACATGACTTCGTACATAAAAATCAATTGAATTTATGCCTGGTGATCTTGGTGGCCAGGCAATTAGATCTTCACGCCCTATCCGTTTCTGGCTGTAATTTCGATTCAAATTTCTGGCTATATGGCTAAAACGTGCTGGTGAATCGTCATGCATGAACCACATGTTTTGATGTACCATTAACGGAACATTTTCAAGAAAGTAGCCTATCTTCTTTGAGAAATGTACATAATTCTGGTTATTTAAATGGCTTTTTTCTTTAAAAAAATAGGGTTTTACAAGTTTGTCATCAATAATACCTGCTCATACATGTATTAAAAACTGTTGATGCCTCTGTTTTGGAATTTTCTGAAGCTCATTCATGAAGGTTGTAATAGTTGAAAATTCCATTTTTGTCAAAACCTACCTCATCAGTAAATATATATATATATAGAATATATATTAATCAAATATTAGTAAAAATTTAGATTCTTTCTCTATTCAATTTACATCATACAACTCATTGGCAAAATTGCAAACGAGGACCACAATCTGCAACAGAAGTGCTTTGAATTTGTTGCATATGATAATGGATGCATTGAGTTTCTTGCTAAAAATGTCACACATTGTTAATTTCGGTACTCCGATTTCATCCGAAACTGTTTTAACACTAGTAGCACAGGATTACGCTCAAATTGTTCAAGTACTTCTTTACAACATCTACCCTAAATCTGCCTTTATTCATTTCCTTTTTTTAATGTACCTAACTCTCTCAAGATTTTGTTTAGATTTTGGAAAGATTTTCTTCCCGATACATATCGACTTGGAAAAGATTGAGTATATATTCTTCTTGCCTCGATAGCATTATTGAGTAAGATTATATGTAAGATATATCAGCGTCGTTACGACTCACACACTCCGTAGTGAAATAGTGGATGCCGATGAGCTGCATCTGGTTATCATACGTGATTATTGCTTTTTATACCGGGGTAGCCGCCATGGAATGCGCCATGTAAAGTGGCTGCTTTTCATGTATGACTCGTATGAATCCGAAATTTGTGAGCTAAAGCCGAAATTTTTTTAGCCAATTAATCTTTATATTGTAGTATTTAAGAATCAGTTCACAACCTGCATTATGTACGATACATAATAATATTGACTACGGTTGTCAGAAATGCGGAAAGATGTTTAGAGGTGTGCTTTATAGACGTTTTTCTTTCAAACGTTTTTAAGTTTAATTTTTCGATCAGAAAATATTATACATATTTACTTATCTGAAAATTAATTAATAACACATGATGGTGATAGACCACTATACATATATAGCCATAACTAGAAATATTAGTTATTTATATTTTTTCATCTGGAATTTTTTTATCGGCATTGTTACTTTATTGGTTACCGGCATTACATGTAAGTTTAAAAGGTTCTTAAAACAGAGCATAATTTATAGCAAGTACTATAAATCAATTTTTAAGTTAAAACGTTAAATAATAGTTAATAAGGTAAAAATATTAGACAAAAAGTCTAATATTTTTTACTAAGGCTATATATATAAATATTATACATATTTAATATTAATAGTATTTTTGTTTAAATAAGCGTATCTAACAGTTAACAAAAGAGGCATAATTATATTATTTGTAGCATTATTTATAATGTAATATTTAATACTCAATAGTTCAGTTACATACGTAGAAATGGAAAAGATTAATTATAATTTAATCTTTTATAAAGCTGGCAGTTTAAAACTAATACCTTTAATATATTTAACGCATCTTTCGGACTTAACATATTTAAAAAAATGCAATTTTTTTCTATGTATCGGTTTTACCAGATTTTGATGGTGTATACATTGATAAGTATATAATCAAATAAACTCAATAGAATAGTAAAATAAGAGCTATAGCAATAAAATAATACATTAATAATAAAATATAAAAAATGGTATTCTTAAAAAATCACTAAATTTTTCAGGATATCCAATTAAATATATTGATTATATCTGAATGTTTCCATAAAATCATTTAACAATACTCATAACTTTAATTACTTGTGCAATATCAAAGCATTTATATTTTTCATACTATATAATTTTTATATCTTGTACATTAAGAGTATCAATTAAATATTTAATTAAAGCGATATTTTATTGACAGATCTATTTTCTTTATATTCTACTATTCTAGATATTTACAACTTTCAAATAATCAAATTTTATTTGATATAAGATAATTAAATTTATTGCGTAAATCAAGTAAAATGCATTTGTTAGATATGCAGAAAAATAGATATACGCTTTTCCAAAATTATTTACATAAGTTTGCGAATGAAATAAATATTAGTAGTAATAATGTAGTAAGATATTTTAAAAATCTCATAACTAAATATAATTCACGTGAATAATAACATTAATGACAAATATTAAAACATCAAAAGTTCATAAAAGATTTGTAAATAACAAGAAATTAATTTAATGTATATTAATCGTTACTTTCAAATTGCATAGTGTACTGTACATAATACCTTTGTCTTTTACGAAAATATGATTTCTAGGCAAATCACGATAGTATTGTGTGTGCATATCAAAATTTTATATCGTCTTTGAATTTGAAACAAATTCTTAATGTGTTTCAATCATATCCTTTATAAAATTAATTAGTATAATAATAGTTACATAATTGATTCTATATAAACCGAGTGTTCAAAATAAAGCGTTACAAATTTTTACCTCGGAAACAAAGCACTTTATAGAAAACGTTCACATAAATTTTGTGACTTTGAAGGGATGTTGTCATTGGTTTGACCTTAAATGGCAAGGTCAGAGCAGGGTCATATAGAATTTTTTAAATAAGACTTCTCACATTTTTTATTGCATATTCTTGTAGTTTATTCCGAGTTTTTCAAAGTACAATAAAATGTTCTTTCCACTAAATACTTTTCGAGTTATACAGTTTGAAAGTTGTAATACCACCGATATTAGCATTACCCAAGGTTAATTTATCTCATGTCTCTTTTAAAGTCACAAAACTTTCTTGTATGAAACATTTACCTCTAAAATGTTTTATTTCCAAAACAAAAGTTTTTAACGCTGTATTTTAAACACCTGGTGTGTGTGTGTATGTGTGTAAAATAGTAATTTTGAGTATATTCTAAAAATTTAAATAAATACATATATTTTTAATTAATAATTATCTCATTAATTAATTAACAGCTGGGAGACAAAATTTAATGAATATTTTTATCTTAGAAATGTGTGATAATTTCGCTGAAATATGTTCATTATAAATTAATTGTATTTACAATAGAAAAAATAGTTTTCTGTAAATATGTATAATAGAATAGATAATGGTTACGTATTTGAAAATATTAGATGCAAAAAAAATATAGTTTCATTTATTCTCTTAAAGTCCAATTTTTCATTATTTGATTAACTTGTGGTTAAACTTAACGTGACATTACACTTAATATAAGACTTTACCTATGACATTATCATAGATAAAGTCCATTGTATAAAACATTATTAGGTTAAGCTTAACTAAAAATTAAACAAAAAATGAAAAATTAGGCCTTATGTATAGTATTATTTTTCAGAATTTCCCAAAAAGCATTTTTATTTGGAATTTGGATATATTCCTGAATATTAAGTATTTTAGAACTATTTTTACTTTGAAATTTGTATATTCAGACCATTAAATCTGAACACTTGTGAAACACATTTCTTCTTTATAATTCAAGAGTTTTATCTGTAGATTTTATTCCCAATGAATGTTATCTAAATTTTTTTTGTTGTAAATCAATAACTAAACCACAAGCTCTGTTGCGATTTTCCGTCAATCATCGGATGGTGGCCCATAGAAAATTAATTCAGGGATTTGTCCTCCTTGGACACCAGTACCATTAGTACTTTCAGAACTACACTGAAATTGAAAATTCACACTGCCAACCGTTGCTTCCGACATACCTTCTTGACCGAAAAAGCTCAGTTCTCCACCGTCTAATATTGCACTTGCTGTATATGAACATTCTGGCTCGATTTGTATCGGATTTTCAAAATATACATGAAATGTATTACTCGAACCATCAGAAAAGAATTTAGTATTATTCTCTGCCAAAACATTACCGAGTCTCTTAAGTTCTATTTTAACATTATAATCAGAAGCACCAGACGAGCTTCCATATAGCCCAAAACCTATCACAAATATTCTCTTATCAACACTGAACTGAATTGAGTCGCAACGACCTCTGTATCGCCATTGATTTGACCTATATGCACAGGATTGAAATCTATGGCAAACCTGCAAATAAAAATTTTCTAAATTATCTAAAATTACTAGTGTCATACTTACTGTTAAAATATTGACAGAGATATTATATATTAGTTGTTTGATACTATAGTTATCTGAACTATAAACACACACACACAGATACCGTAAATAATTATTTGAAACTTCTTCACAAAGTCTTGTCTTTTCAATAATAAAATGACATAAATACAATAGTTGAGGACACTTCAAAATTTTCACATAATTTGTGGTTTTCACTTACTTGAGTTTTTAGCCCTTGACGTGGCTTGGTAGCAAAACAAAGTTGTGGTTTGTTACTGGCAGTAAAGTATAAAAATAAATCAATTGTTTCTTGATGTGTTAGAATTCCTGTCTGTGCTGCACTGTTTGCGAATTCTTCAAGATTCATAGCAGGAAGTCTAATTAAATATAAGGCAGATCCTAAAAATGGAAAATATGTATATACACATGCGCGCTTCCGCGCAAACATATACGCATGTATATTGGCTTAACATTTATTTTGAAAAAAAAAAAAAAAATTTACAATTATCTTACCTAGTAATTGCCTTTGATTGGCGGGAATAGGCTCGAGATCTTGCCGTATGCATTCCGCAGAAGCCCATCGTAATGCAGCATCCCATATATGAATTTCTTTGCAATTTAACGTCTCTCGAGATAAAACAGATTCGAGTGTATGAATATCAATATCCACAAAACCATCAGATCTTAGTGCCATTTCTGCCTGTCAATAGATTTTACTTAATGTTGAAGTTCATATATCATTGCTACTAATAATTTTGTATAATTAATTAATTATTTAATAATAACATACAATTTTTATTATTCCAATGATTACAATGTAAATATTATGATTCAAAATTTGTTTTTTTTTTTTATTTTTTAAGAAAGATATAAAATTTATAAATTATTTATAACACAAAACATAAAACTTATGCTTATTTGTTCCAGTAAAGTTCTACATATTAAAATTTTATATATGCATGTACGTACTAGTTTAATTTCATAAAAATAGTCAAAATTATACAATTCTAAATGGTTAAAAACATCGTCATAATTGTTATACGTAAACAGGATAATGTTTTAAAGAATTGTGAAACGAAGATGATAAAAATGATATTTCGTCATGTTGAATACATTCTTTTTGTCGATATTATTTGATTAGTCAAATTTTTACAACGCTAAATAATAGTTTGTCCTTTTTTTTTAAGACTTAATCTTTTTTGTTTATGTTATTTTTGAAGTTAGCGAGTTTTTAAATAAAATATATAGGATATCTGAGACCACCCGTTTTAAATTGAAGGGAAGTGATTTTGATAAAAAATATTTTCAAACAAAATTTGAGATGGACAGTAATGATAAAATCAATATTCCAATAAATCAATGTTCGATCTATCTATCTTAATATGCATATATCTATTTTATATACAGAATAATTAGAGGTATGTAAACGTACGCAAATATGCAGATCTATTTCTTTAACATAATTTTGACATAATTTTACAGTATTAAAATAATTTTCTCTCGATTATTATTGACAGAAAAATAAAAGTATCATATTTACGTTCTTATTTAATTTGATCAGTTAATGTTTATACTGGGGTTTGTAATTAATACTATATGATATTAATACAAAAATTATGAATAAATATCAACATATTAGATTGAAATATTTTTATGAAAATAACTAATGCAATTCATAAAATGATTATAAAAATTAATTACGTAGCAATAAAGAATTACTAAAATGTATAAATATATTATCTTACAATTATAAAACATTTTTGTATTGCATATGTTATGTTATATTTTATTATCATATATGATATTATATATGTTATGTGAAAGGTATTGTTGCAAAATTCGTCACAAAATATAACATTTTCATTATTGAAAAACGACCAATTTTATTGAAATTTTTCGTTTTATTTAATTATATTACACTTAATACAAAGATATGTATGAAATCATTCTTGACAAAAAATATTAATAAATAACAGTCAAAAAATTTGCAGTTTTTGAAACAAAAATTAATATTAGCGTATGCTATATGTAATTATATATATACATATATATATATATATATAATATATATATAATGTTAACTCATTTGATATTAAAACATCATAAATAAAAGAAATCTTTAAAGAAAAGTGAAAATTTATTAGAACTATTGTCACATTAAGTGACCAGTCGTGGGATAATATATACAAATATATATACATATATATAATGTATGTAATATTTTTAATACTTGTGGTATATTTATAAAAATATTACTTTTTAAAGAAATTTTGCCGACTTTTTATTTGAAAAAAGCGTAGAAATATATTACACGTATTTTGTAACAAATTCAAAAAATTATAAAAAATTACAAATTTTTCTGTATTGTATTTGAAATACCAAAAAATTTGATGACGATTTAAAACCTGGGTAAAACATTATTTCAATAAGAAGTACTTATTTTTAAAAAATAATTATGATAAAATTTTAAATTAAATTGTATAATTGAATTCTTAAATATGAATATTGACCTTATTATACTGCTTCATATATATATCGCGTTCATTGACGAAAAATATAAGTTTCCAATTTTAGTAATTTTTTTGCAGAGACTATACACTTGGTACATCTTTGAAGCATGCAGAAATTGTTTCACATTAATCATGCACTTTTTCTACAAAATATTTTTAACATAAATAATAGAACTAAAAATTCCCCATTTGGAAAAATTTTTTTAGAGCAAATAACATTTTAATACAAATTAGATTATAAAAGAAATAAAACAAATAATATATATATATATATTATTCTATGCGTATGCAATCATGCGCTTAAGAGATTCAATACAATTGTATATAAAAATTATATAATATTTATTTTTATTTAAATGATTATTTCATTAATATTTGTTGTTGTATTAGAGACATCATTATAATTGATTTTGCCGCGCTCGTATTCATCTATTAAATTATCCTGATACATGATATTTTGTGTGACTTCAATCTGATCTAACTTATTATCCGGAAAATAAGGTTCACTTCGTGTTCGAAAAAGCGAAAGAGACAAATTATCATCTGCAATGATGTTTGTACAACAATCGTTTTCTGAGAGACTCAAACAGTGCGGTATCGATAATCTGCCTGTGAAACTTTCACAATTGTCATCGTTCAATCCGCCACTGCTTTTACAGGTGCGTCGATATCGCAAACTGTCAAATTTATTGTCATAAACACAAGAATATAAGCTCGAAATATGATTGACTGAGTCACTGGAAGGACTTGAGTCATCTTCGAGCGTTCTGTCCAAGTTCTTGTCACTCAAAGTAATGGTTCTTAGCGTCCGTTGCATTTGACTTACTTGTGCATCAATCACCTCCCAGCAACGTTGCATGAGATTAGGTTCTTCAAATAAGCGAGATTGACTCAGAAGCAAACATGCGTTTTTTGCTGTAAGACTCGTCTCTAGATAATTGACACATGCCCGTGCCAGGTGTGGAACTATATATTTTTTTGCGACGTATAATGTCGCCAGAACTGTATCTGCTTCTAGTTGCACTTCGTCACAATACATATATCTAAAAAAAAATATGATTATATAAGCTACAACTATCTTCAGAAAGAATAAATAATGAATATTGTATTATATAATCATGTATCATGATAAATGTATAATTTTCTTCTGATAATAAAAAGTGTTTATTTAGTTTTAATTGTTTTTTATATATATAAGTTTATTTTAATCAATTCATTAAAATATTTTAAAATCCATAAATTTGAGACAAAAGTGCTTTAATTATTTTTTTTATAGTAATTTTTTTTCAATTTAGATTGTTTCAAATATATTGTTAAACAGTCAGCAAATGGTTATAGTAATCAGAAATAAATTCTAAGAGGTTAAATTAGATGTTAAAAGAATGTATCAGAAATACAACTATTTAATATATATATAATATTTAACGTGAGAAAATTTCAGTTCTTTAGAAGATTTAAGGCTCAAATAACTTTTTCGATACAGTATCAATAATTTTAAATAAGAAATGCTTTTAAATTATTTTAAACTTCTTATGGTTACCTCAATAACGCAAGAAAAGCTGCTGGTTCAACATCAGGCACTTCTATATCTCTTTTATTTTCAGGTAATCCTCCGTAGAACATAGCATAAAATACAGAACTGCCAGTAGCAAGAACATATTTATGTGCTGGTATTGTTTGTGTGTGTCCTATAATATTAATATACGATATAATATTTTGCAATAGTAATAATTAAGAAAAAATAGATAATTTGAACAAGTACCTGGACTGCCAACAATAAATATAATATCGGCCATGAGATGATTATTAAACATGGCCGCGTTTCGTTCTCGAACTGTAGGTTTTGTTGCTTGCCAATTAGGATCTTGAGTGCAATCTCCGGGTGATGGTAAATTTAATTGAGTCACGGGTGAGGATAAGGAAGACAAAGGTGATGCAGGCGCACTCAATGGCTGATTGACTGTAGTTCCTTCGCGTTGTAATACAATAGATGAAGAGAGTGGACTCACTGATGATGGTGAATCTGATGTATTACTTGGAGATTCCGCTAGAATTCAAAAAAAATTATTAAATATAAAAATTAAAAAATAGTGGGGGGGATACGAAATTTTGAAAATAGATGTAGCTGTATGACGAGCAAAATAATCATAAGATTTATGATAAATAATTTGAATCTATATTCAGATCTTTAATTAACATACAAATTTTGAATAATAGTGATGGAAATGGATGGAAAAATTCGATTAGATTTTTCCAAAATAAGCATATATTTTCAATAAGCAAATCTACAGTATATTTACAAATTGATAACAAATTCAGTCAGAGATTGCTAACAAATATTCATCAACTGTGTTTGCACAGTTAGTTGGTAGAGTCAATTCATAAGCTTGATTTTTCATTATCTAGTTAATTTGTAGTTAGGCTTAATCTAATGTTTTATCCAATAGGCTTCATTTATGATGATATCATGGATGAAGTCTATTTAAAATTAAATAATGAAAAATTGGACTTTAAGAAATAAATGGAACTATTTTTTTTGCATCTAATATTTTGTATCCATTATATCAAATTTAAAAATCCACTAAAAAATTTAAATCATTCAAAATTATGTTAAAAATATGATATTAAATTAAAAACAAAGATAATTTTGTGTGCGTGTGTGCTAGAGACGCAAGTTAGGTCAGATTATATAAAATCTTAAGTCTCCAATTTTTTGACATATTTTTTAAATATTCTGAGCACACATTTGAAAAACATCTTTTTCTCCACGAATTAAGGATGTTCTCCGAAAAATCCATTTTCTTTAAATTTTTCTGAAATTTACAGAAAAAGTTGTTTTAGTGTTCTGAACATGTGTTTTGAAGCTCAGTACCTGGAGCGGGATTAAAAATCGAGATATTCTACTTAAGTTGAAGCGTTAACATAGAATCCCTATCTGAAATTTATTTGAAAGTGGTCTTTGTATTCACTGTAAAAAAGTTTTTCTTTACAATTTTTTGAAACAAAGATACATAAAACTTGATATCACAAGGAATGATATGATATTTTTCTGAATATGCCTTTCGGTATTCATTTTTAAGAAACCATTTAGCAAAGTAAGTAGCTCAGCTATGTTTTCGACCGGCGGCAGTAGCGAAAGCCAAAGGGAAACAACGAAACAAGTGAAAGAGCGGAGTGGTAGTCAACTATTACTGTCTGTGTGTAGGAGCGATTGCGTGGACGCGAGTAAACTTTAGGTTGAGCACACAACTGCAGTCGGAGAATGTCCTTAAATAAAAACTGTAAAATTCTAAAAAAAATATCTGTTGTCTTCGATAAACTAATGATATTATTTACCGTCTAATATACATTATTTAGAATGTTGTCCAGAAAAATGTTATTTTAATTTTCTTATTATAATAATTGAGCATGATTTTGCTTGATTTTCATTAAATTTTTCTTACTTATTCACATATTCTTGATGATTATACAGATATCAAATAGTAGCACTTTTTCGTGACATCATATGCATGATATGAACAATGCATAAAGTAAATAAATGTGCATAAATGATTTCAGGAATCTGTCATTCATGGTGCATTAAGTCTGAAACATCATGTACACACACAAACGCACGCACACGCACAGTATACATATATGTACATGCACCTATATATATGTATGCATAGTCAAAGTTAATTCAGTAAAAGTATAAACTTATTGAATCTGTTACATAGTCAACTTATACATTTAATATTAACTGTGACATATATATATATATATACACACACATATGTAAACACATATAGGGTGATTCATTTTAATCTTAACAAATATTTTTTTAAATATGGAATATACGGTAAAATGTTTCAAAGACAAAAGTAAAACGATTTCGAAGGAGACATATTTTGGCTATGTTACTTTCTTTCTAGATGGAGGCACTAAAAAAGTACGAAGATCAATTCATATTTGTTAATGAAACTATATGATTTTTTTTATATAGTATGATTTTTCTAATTATTCTGCACATAAAAATACTAAGATAGAAATATCAGAAAATCCAATAGTTTATGAAATATTTTGGTATATCATGAACCATAAAAATTTAAATTCTTAAAAGTATTTTCAAATATGAGATTTTGGCCAATATTCATAGTTAGTTTTTTATATTTAAGACCGTCTTAAGTTCAGTTTTGAGGTGTCATGAACCAATCAGACAGCTGCATTAGCATCTTAAGACATTACTTAAGCGGTCCTTAAAATAAGAACCGACTATGAATACCGGCCTTTGTCTCATTTTTTAAGTATAATTAAAGAATTATGAATATTTAAAAAAATGCATTGAGTATATTTGATAAATATTAATTGATCGAAGGAAGGATAAAAACATTTTTTAAGACATACCCAAAATGTTTCATACTCGGGGTACTGACTTGTATAAATCACATACAAAAAGTAAATTTATTCAAGAAAATATTAGTGATAAAAGTTGAAAAGGAATTTCAGTTAACTTACAGTCTTAATATAGTCATATAATAAAACATAACTTAATAAAATTAAATAATCCATAAATAAACCTATATTGATTAATGAATAGATATAAAGAATATAAAACTTCTGAAGTAAAATTAATTGCTTAGACTTCTAAGCTGCCAGTTAAAATTAGTTTGTTTATTACCTTGTTTTCTTATGAGTATTTACTGTATGCTCCAAACACTTAATATCAGAAAACAGTGAAACGGTATATATCCAGAAACTTAATGTATTTACTACAAAGACAATATTAAACTATTTCTAAATTATTTTAAAATTACTTTTGCACCATGAAAACCATGGTGTGAAAAAATGTGAAAAAAAATGGCACAAACAATGGAATTTAATCACTACCATTTAAATACAAAGTATAAACAACAAAATAACAATCGTGCAATACCGTTTATATTAATTTGAACACTCTGGATTATCCTAAACAGTCAATGACCCATGGTACCCCGTGACTCATAGTGCTCCGGTTTCCCCTACGCGAGTTTTTGTTACATTACATAGTGGGATTTTCTATATATAAATACGAATTTCCAGCATATCCTATATAGATTTGATAACATAGGTGTTTCACCCTCACTAAACAGGTGCAACGTATAAACAGCACACTCTCACTCATTCGCACACATCAAGTGAAAGCAGTCTCTCACTTTTTTCCTTTTTTTTTTTCTTCACTCTATTTTTGTTTTTCTCACCGTTCATCCAAGCATTGGTTTGTTTGACCGTGACGTTGTCCTGAAAACGCTTCATTGGCTTAGTGGAGATCTTCGAGTAGAGATTCGACATTGCCATTGCTGTCACTTTCGAATAATGCTGTTAGTCTCCTTCTTCCGTCGTAAATTGCACGCTCAGCTCACAATCACATCAGGAGCAATCAAGAGATCGTCCGTTGTCGGTTAGGCGGTCGCCATTTTCCGTACGGGCGCTGGTCCGGCTAGCTGGCTGGTCGAACAGTGCCGCCACCGTTATCACAACTGTGTCGGTCGATAGACATCGAATAATGAGAAAGTGGAAGGGATACACACGCGCAAAAAGGCAACTGTTGTATGTAGAATGAGGGAAGAAGGAATATAGCATAATTTAATCATACGTAACCAAATCATTTTCCATTCGTAATGTTCGTGCGTTTTTATACTTTAGATACAAATTTAAAATAAAAAAAATCATCTGTTATTTATTCTATAATTCTATAATTGTGTTAAATTAAACGATATGAAGTCGTGGAAAAGCGCAAGTGCAAGTATTAAAAAAAATTTAGATTTTAACTTAAGGAGAATGATACACATTTTAAAATTACACTTTGAGATATAATTCAATAATTTATCTTTTCAGTAAAAAAAAAGATTTCTTAAATTAGAAAATGATTTTATTTTAATAAAATGATTTTTGAATATATCTAAATATTCTTCTATTAATTATGATTTAATAATTGATCTTTGCGCGAATCAAAAGTATTGCATCTGTAACCGCAAAGATTTTCAATTGTATAATTATACAAAAATATTTTTTTAAACATTTAATAAGTGTGTTTTCAATATTGAATAAATAATTTTTTGAACTCCACGAGAGAATTCAATTTTATCTAGAACTTATTAAAATTACTTAAAATACATAAATCAAATAATCCCTTACATATTGTATTCTCAAAAGGGAGCCCTTTACATAATCTTGCGTTATACAGAATCTTAGATGAAAACCTAAAAAAAAAATCGTGAAATTTCATTAAAATAGTTATCAATTGGCTAGTAATTTACATTCAACTGCATATTATGTATACATATACATATGTCTAGCAGTAGATGCCGGATCTTGCAAGAGATGGCGCTGTAGTATAATAGATAAGGATAGATGTATGAGTTGAGTGAGACAAAACAATAATATATATAAGAAATGAATTAAAGATATTGCTACTATCGATAGTTTTAATTTAGAATTTAAAAAATGATCACTTTAATTAAATTATGTATTAAAATTAAAGTATATATAGAATATAAAACATATTTTGATATCATTTAAGTAAGAAAATAAAATACCTCAAATAAGTTTTTGCTTAATATCTAATCTAGAGTAAAATACATTGTATAAATTGATATTCTTTGACATAAATTTATAAGTTTATTTGTCTCGTTTAGATCCCTGTTTATACATCATGAGATTTGCGCATAAACTTGAATTTGGTGATAAAACTCACGCTGTATCTATGACAGCTTTAAGAGTCGTTCAAAGAATGAAAAGGGATAGTATTCATAGTGGCCGTAGGCCATCAGGTCTATGTGGAGCAGGTAAATATTTTATTATTTTAGTGTATTATGCAAGTGCGTGTATAATGTATGTATAAATTAAATACATTAATTTTTTTTCTGCAATAGCTTTATTAATAGCTGCGCGATTGCATGAATTTAGCAGATCAACTGTCGATATTATAAAAATTGTTAAGGTACACGAATCTACTCTACGTAAAAGGTAATATATCAAAAAGTAACATTTTTCTCATATATATTTATATATACTACACATACATAACGTTTACTTTAACATTAAGTACAATATATCATGGATGCTTCAATGATGGATTTTTCTTATGTATAGATTACTGGAATTTGGTGATACTCCATCCAGTGCCTTAACATTAGAAGAATTTATGACAGTGGATTTAGAAGAAGAACAGGATCCTCCAGCATTTAAAGCAGCACGTAAAAAGGATAGAGAACGTTTACAAAAGGTATCATTTTTTGTTAATTTGTAATATTTTATACTTGAAAGCTTAAAATTGAACTATTTTATTTATATATATATATATATATATATATATAATATATATGTTTTTAATACTTTATATTTAATATTTCTAATTTTTTTTTAGTTAGAAAATATAGATGTGGAAATAAGTGAGCTGCAAGCAGAAATTGATAGACAGTTAGAAGATTATAGAGTAGGAAAAGTAAGAAAACGAAAGGATGGTAATTGTGTTTTTATAACATACATTCTTTATTAATAGATTTAGCTTATATTAAAAACTCAGGTGATATAAGTATCAAATATTGTTGTATTTTTATATTTGTATAATAACGAAAGGGATGCATTAATGGAAAGAACATAACTATTAAAAAAGAGAACAATTCCATTATAATTTCTTAATTCATATATAATAAATAGTTGATTTATCACATAATATATTCTCTTAAAAATAAAATAACTAATCTAAAAATATTTCTCAAGGCATCATTATTATCAAATATATTACAGATAATTATATAATGTACATTGTATTTATATAGTTTTTGTATTAGTAATTGTCTTATAGCATAGATAAAATTTACAGCTTTTTCTATAGAGAATGAGGATGCAGATAGATTTATTCGGGAAAGTAATTTAAGTGTAATCCAACAATATGTTGAGAATAATATTGGTGATTCTGATGAGAAAATTTGTGATGTGATTTTAAATGAAAACAGTAGTTCAATTATAACTGGGTTAGGTAAGCATATATTTACATAAAAAATTGTGTTATTTATATTTTGTCTTTAACACATTTGTAATTTTATGAATTGTATACAGGTCCGGACATAGCATCTATGATGGCTGCAAATGATCATTCAAATGAACTCAACGAGAAAGATAATAATTTTGAAAATGTAAGAATTTTCATTGTTTTTGAAGTTAAATTACAAATTTTAATTGTAAAGTAATATTTCATTAATACTTGTATAGAAATACACACACGAGTATCTTCTTTTTTTATAAGTTTGTGATTTATTATATTTCGTTTTCTAACAAAGATAAGATGACACAGTTTAGCGCGCGCGCGCATGCACACACCACTCACACACACACACGCACATGCACACACATACACAGAGTTTTGTTTGCCAATATTAAACAAAGACGTAACAACTGTGTTATATTATTATTTGTTACACTCTTTTGCTGGAAAAAGCACTGTGTATAGATTATCATAATGAATTAAAGAAATAAAATAATTCCCTGAAGAAAGTTTATATTTATTTTTCTAAATGTTTTTGATATGGTACTATTGAAACTATAATAGATATGAAAAAATTTGCACAAAAAAGTTTGTGATTTTAAAGTTTGTGATTTTCCTTGCTACTTGACAACAATTTTTCATTTTTTTTTTTTAATTTTTCTTTTAAGATAATTTTGTGTGTATTTTTTGTTAGATTATATAATACTTATCTAAAAATTTGTAGATATGTGTAGGCTCATTTTCTTATTTGTTGCATATAAACATTATATTCTTGTTTTTACTATTAATTGATAGGATTGTAGAGGAGTATGCAATACTTAATCATATTTTAAAAATTTGAAATAATTAAGAAGATATTGTTTTCAGTTTTCTGAAGAAATCTGCACGAATGATATTGATGATGAGGAATTGGATAGTTACATTCTTTCGGAAAAAGAATCGCAGTCTAAGTCTGCTCTTTGGAATAAAGTAAACGCTGATTATCTTGTTCAACAAAAAGAAAAGGAAGAAAAACGTTTAAAAGAAAAAGAAGAAGGTAAACCTGAAAAGAAAAGAAGAAGAACAACGAAAAAATGTAAAATGCCTGCAAATACTGCAGGTAAGTTAATTTTTATTTTCTATTTTTGATATTAATTTATTCATTATTACTAAGTTGTTTTTTTATACTTTCCTCATTAGGCGAAGCAATTGAAAAAATGTTGCAAGAAAAAAAAATATCTTCAAAAATCAATTACGAAGTATTGAAAAATTTAAATAATCAACAGAGCAATGAAGAATTATTTGTTGCAAACACACTGGAATTGGACACAATAAGTTTTAAAAAACCGTTAGTGCAGATTATTTTACAATTACAGCTAAATCAATATATTACAGGCAAAGTCCGCAAGTACTCGGGTTGTGTCAACATTACGTAATACAATTAGGTTGGACATTGCTGACATTGTACAACAGGCAACTTGTGCAACATTGTCCGACATTGCTCACTATATGGACTTTGTTTGTAACATATTGAAATTAATAAGTGATAATATATAATAATTATTTTGTACGATTAGGATAACAATTAATTCTACACTGAAGTCTCCAGAGGTTTTACTAACGAAAAAATATTCTATTACACCAAATGTTCAAAAAACACCATTGAATAAAATATTAGATAATGTACACAGAAAAGAAGATGAATTTACAAAGAAGGAAGTCAATTTAATGGAAACTGATACACCTATAGTGGACACATCCGAAATCGGTTTGTGTAACATTTTCTTTATAATCTTTACTATTTTAGATTGATCTAGATAATTTATTATAGATAGATCTTTATTATTTTATCTTGAGTGATTATGGTAGGATTAGATATTATGCTTAGATTTTATTAAAATTTTTATTTTTACAGTATATAATAATGACGATTACCTTGATGAAGAAGAATCTGATGTTACGGAAATGTCACTTGGACAGATGCTCGAATCTCGTGCTACTGAGAACGCATTTTGTGATGATGGTTATGAATACGAATGAAAACCAAAACCTAAATATTTACATCAATTTTTTAATGCTATTATTTATTATTATTATAAAAACAAATAAAAATATGTTATCAGTAATTCGAAAAAAAAAAATAAATTATTTTTTGTGATAATTATTTGTACTATTATAAAATAGTACAAATAATTTACCTTGATTTTATTAAATTTTTCGTTTTGTAATTTTCTTTTATTGCATATTTTAAGCTTTGTCCAGACCAAGAAACATCAATTGACGTTGTAGATAATACAAATCTATGAAAAAATTGACATTGGTAACAAAA